TGTCAGACCCTTTTGTATTGTAGGAACTCTTAAAATGATACTGTATTTTCACTTTCTCCAAGGTCCTTATGGTTATCTGTTCATGAATCTGTGTATTCTGTCCCTGTTGGTCTGAGTTGGACCAATGCTTCTAATTTTCTCCCCTATTTTCTCAACCTTTAGAAGCCTCGGTTTTGAAGAAAGCCACTCCGTTTACATTCATAGCACTTTCACACCGTGTGAGTTTTTCCCATACCAAGCAGTTCTGCAAGTCTCTAAACACCAGCTGGTCTTCTGTACTTAATTAAATTCTGACAAGTTCCACCTGTAGTTGGTTAGTGTCAGATCCCACAAGGTGGTAGCTCAGTTCCACAAGTGGACTGCCCCAGGTCAGATGCCAGTCACAGGTCTGGGCTTCCAGTACTTTTGAGCAACCAGCTGTGAATCAAGGGATCTTAGCACCCCTTCCTCGGGTTCCATAATTTCTTAGAATGGCTCGGAGAACTTGTTGAGCCTATGTTTAAGTAATGAGTTACCAGTCAGTCTGTCTGGTGATCAGCCCCATCCTGAGTCTACTAGGAGCCCCACCTTATGTCACCTCATTAGCATGAAGTCAGAAGTGATGAGGGGAGGACTCATGAGTAACAGAAGACGCCCTCTCATTCAGGAAATTTCATAAGTTAGAAGGTCTGTTCAAGCAACCAGGGACAATCACCAAGTAGATTTCTAATTATACCGCATTGGTGGATTTTTTTCAGTTGACATGATTATTATGGTATTTGTGTTCTCATATAACACAATAGAGATGCAAAATACTGTACACTCTAACTCCTGGGGAAGTAGCAGAGGAGCAGAGGCCTAGGAGGTGGAGTCATGCTTGCAGTGACTCAGTGTCGGTTGTAGTTACTAATGATAGTTTTCTATAACCTCACCATAGACAATTATTTTTCTTTAACAAAGGTTGATTTTAGTTAAATTTTAGCATGAATATTGAAAAGAATTTGCATTGAGTGTGTAATTAACATTTACATTTACAAAACAGATACAAATGAGCACCATCCTCTGCCTTTCCCTACAGGTTCTAAATCTAAGAATTCAGCTCATATACGTTAAAGGACGTACAGACAGTATTAAGTTACAGCTCATAAAATAGAATCAGACTGTGTAGCAGTAAATGAGATCTTAGCAGTCTTATCTAACTTCATTTCATACTCAGTGACACTCAGGCTTAGAGCAGTTTAATATATCTTTCCAAAGGTCATGGAGTAGTTGTAAGAAAATACTGAACTGTAACGCAGGTCATATGTTTTTGCTAAAATTATGTTGTTTTAAGTTTGGGATGTTGCTGGACCTGTGGCTTCTCTCCAGTTGAGTGTAGTGTCCACCTCTGTCTTCTACCCTCGCCAGGAGACCTTGCCTGTTATGGGTACATCCACAGCAGTGAATTACCTCTCCATCAATGACACAGTCCTTGTCCCTTTTGTGAGGCTGTGTAACTTCTCAGATGTAAACCTACCTTTTCTTGTTTTAAAAATTACAAAGAAATAGCACTGTCCTTGCAAGTTCTCTGAACACTTGTTTTTCTCGTATTTGGTCACAGTGCTTTTTAAAGCTGACGGGTTAGAGGTTTCCTTTTACCGAAAACTTAGCTGGTTTGGTTTCCTGGCCTTTTGTTGTTGAAATCATGTATCTCGTAATAGTAGACATTGAGTTTCATAGCTTTACCTATAATATATCACAGAAATAGCAGGGCACGTTTAAATGCCTCATAGACTATTTGTTAACTTTTAATTGAAGCCTTTTGTAGGATTTCCTGGCTTGTAACTTGAATTTTTACTTAATGAGTTAGGGACAGTTGTGTGTGCTACTCTAGTCTAAGTTAAGATGATGAGTTACATGTTCTCATCTCCAAAACCTGAGCAGTTTTGCAGCAAAGATTGAATAGTCTAGTCAGTTGGTCTCCTAGCCTGTAGAGGACCCCCTCCCCAGTGCTGGATGCTCAGGGCTCTGTGTGAAATAGACCTAAAGGTATTTTTACATCAAATTGGAGCACTTAACTTTATGCCTTACAGGAGAGTTTTGAGTTCTCGTGAATTTGTCAGTGAAAACACACCTTTTAGATGTAAAGTAAAATATTAGTTATGCAAGGGAAATTCAGGATGAAATAATAATTTCAAAAATGTGGGCATTTCTTTTGGTTCATTTTTTAAATATTATAATTATGTTCATGCTAGCTTTTAAAGATCTGGTTTGAATTGTGCTATTGGATGTAATGCAGTTAAAATGCATTTTGAATTTTTGACTTCTATTCTGGCAGTAAATTAAGGTCCTTTTTTCCTGCGTGTAGAGCTAGAAATATTTTTGACCATTTGATCCAAAAGCCTATACTTTAACTTAAATCTGTATTTCTTTTGTCTTTTTTATTTGCTTCAGAATATATACATTTCTTGGTTTGAAATGTTAGTAAGGAAGAATTTACTTTGAGTTATATGCTATAACTCGTCACTTATTTTGAGTTTGCCTTTCCAATAATTTTAAATGTCCTGATACAGATAAGAGCCAGGTGATTAAAAACACAAATTTGGATAGCACAAAGGGATGGCTTCTGAGTAAGAAAATAAGTGCTACAAAATTTCCAAATTTGCCTATAAAACTCCTCAGCATCTCACATAGAACCTACTTTTTTCATCTTAGTCAAAGCAAAGTTCTAACAAGCCAAATTATGCAGTTTTTATGCCCACAGCAGGTTAGAGGCAGTGAAGTAAAGGGTTAGTGGAGTAGGTCAGCACATGACAGGGAAGCAAGAAAAAGGAAGCGCAGCAGCAGCAAGCTCCAAAAGCACTGCACCTTTGATGGCTTGGTCTGGGGTGCTCAGCCTCGTACCTGGCCTGGGCTGAGTGCAGTCATTATTGATACTGCATGTGTCATAGTAAAAACGAGTCATTCACCAGAGGGTTGGAATGTCTTTGTAGCTCGAAGAACACAGAGAAGCAGACTACATTTCAGAATAATCAGTAGGTCTGATTGCTTTACCCACTACTCAGCTTTGTCCAATTTTAATATGTTGCCATATTCTTTTGTTTCTTTTTTAAAGAAATTCTGTAGATCTGTTTGGAGACTTCTATATGTTTTCTTCCTGTGGGTTGCTCCATGTTAAAATTGATAATCATCATTTCTATGCATGTTTTCTACTTTAGATAACATACAGATATATAGGTACACACAGAATGAATAATAGGAGTCATCTTTTGGAGTTTTTACATAAATAGCATCATACTGTACTTATTTTGTGCCTCTTAATTTATACTCTATTTTGGGGTTTAAGTTACACTGAAAACCCCTGTTATTTATTTTAACTATTTTATATTCTGTTGACAAAAGTAACCACAATATTTATTCACCTGTGGATGGACTTTTATGTTTTTCTACTTCTTTTTAATACTACACGTGGTGCTACACCGCTCATGTAAGTGTAGAAACGATTCTCTAGGATATATTCCCAAGGTAGGCCTAACAAGTCACGAGGATTCATATAACTTCAGCTTTACTATAACTTGCCAAGTGTGCTGCAGAGTACTTACACTGATTGCCCTTCTCATTAGTGTGCCTGAGAGTTCCTGTAGCTCCAGATACTACACATCGTTGCTAGTTCTAGCAGTTTCTTTATTTTTAATTTGTGCTCACTTCATAAATACGAAATTAAATCTCATGGTTTTAATTTGTATATTCCTCCTTTGTAACATAGTTTATGTTACATAGTTTATCCCTTCTTTGAGCATAGTTTGCGGTTATTGTTCATTTGGGTACTTCTTCTATAATTTGTCTTATTATATTTTCTTTTAGTTCTTTATCTTATAATTGTTAATGACTAATAGGTAGGCATTTCTTCTGTACTCTGGCATTAACCCTTTGTTCACATATTCTGCACGTGAATCCTTTGATCCTTCAAATACCTTCTCTCAGTTTGTAGTTAGTCTGTATAGTATTTTGTTGTACGTAAAATTTTAACTTAAGTAGAACAAAATACGTCAGTCTTTCGTAGCTTTTGCATCTTTAAGATGTTCTCCTGTGCCATGGGAGTCGTAGATACTTACGCAGATTTTACATTAGGTTGTGATCAAAGGTTAGGATCTACTCTGTCCTCTCTAGATACCTGATTATATCCGTACTGCTGAATGTCTGGCCTGTCTTCATTAGAGCTGCTGTCGCATTATCAGGACCCACATGTGCTTGAGTCTGTGTCTGAGCCTTTGTCCTGCTGGCCTGTCTGTGCCAGTAGCGGCACTGCCTTAATCTTGATGTCTGAGGGCGCGGCCCTCCCATCAACAGTGCCAGCATATTTCAGGAGGGTCTTGTATAATTTTATACGGAACTTACTTTTAAAAATATATAATGTACATAGAAATTAAGGTTCTTTTTTTAAGCATCCTGCTAGAACTTTGATTTAAATTGTGTTGTATTTACTTAATTTAGATATACCTAATTAATTATGAAATGATCCTTAAAAGGATAAAAATTTCCTACTTTTTTACAAAAGTATATCAAAAATGGCCAATTCTCTAAGGGTTATTGAATGTTCAAAGTTTGTTATATTTAAATAAAGAAAAGGAAACCATTAAAAATGTTCATTTCTGTGGTGGAATATTCAAGAAATTAAATATTTGATCTTTACTTCTCCATTGTGCTTGCTAATTTCTTCAGAATTTATTGATTAGTTGTTTTATGAGGACATTTTGCTATACAATATAACAGTAATTTGAAAATCCCCAGCAGTTAATGGTAGGGAAGTTTTCTTGCCTGAGTTTTTTAGTGCATTATACATGATACAATATGTACTTCCAAGATCCAAGATATTGATTATGTTGGAGGAAATCATATTCCCCATGTTGGATACATGTCATATGTCAGCTATCCTGTCCTTTTATCATTTGCCTCAAAAAATCTAGCATCAGAGATAAAGAAATGTTGGCTCTATTCTGTTTCATCAAGCCATGCTGAAATTCCTTTCTTTTCCTATGTAGAGACTTGTAGCCACTACAGGAAGCAAGCAGCGCAGTCGCCTTTCTATTATGGCTCAATACCTCTGCAGTGTCAAGCACATCTTTACCATTCCAGGTCAAGCTTTTATCCCCAAACCAGAGGTAAGTTTCTGCTTATTTGCTTTAGTGTAACAGAATGTCTGTTATAATCTTTGTTCCCCTGAGGATGTGTCATAGGGAATAATCTCTAAAATCTAATATTTATTTATATGCATACTGTTCCATCTTTTTTGTTTAAAACTTGAGTAGGGCCCACCTACTTTTTGGAATCTGTCTCCTCCTTAGAGTGATCAAATGTCTAGGTTTATGTAGTGGTTTAATTATCATCATTATCTTTATCATCATCATCATTCCCTGCTGCTCTTACAAGTATTCCAGTATGACAGGTAAATGACATGGTCACTCAGTCTTTTAGAAAAGAAATAGAATATTTTTTGTGATTTCTGCTAGAGAATTCTGACTAAAGTTGGATCAAATATTATTTATTGAATAGGTTTTTTTTACACATTTTTGGCAGTGTTTTAATGAATCAGCTATGAAAAATAGTTATGCTGCTTACATGAGTTAAGTTTTAATTGCAAAAACAAAGTTTCTGTATGCCAAATAAAAAAAAAGCTGGTGTCTATTTTAGCAAAAGCATTGCTTGATGAGTTATTACAGAGTGCTATAAAAAGTCACGTATTTCTTCCCTGGGTTGAGAACTGACTTTGAAAAGCGCTGGGCTGGGTGTATAACATGGGGGGGGGTGTTTCATCAGTTACTGAGTTTGCCTTCGGGGTGTTCAGAACCTGATAAAGAGTAGAAATCTCTCATTGGTAGCTAAAACTCTCAGATACAAAGTTTCCTTTACGTAATTTTCCCTTCAGAAATAAAATAACATGAAAATCTTGTCTTACCCGGCAGTATAGCTCAGTGGCACAAGCACCTGCCCGGCAAGTGTAAGGTCCTGAGTTCGATTCCTGGTACCAAAAAAAAAAAAAAAAGAAAAGAAAATCTTGTCTTATGTGATTAAATCTCAGAGCTTTAGAACGAACCCTCTGACTAGACTAGGAATGTTGAGTCTTGGAGCATCGCAGACATCTTCACCACCTTTGCTATCACCTTAACACTTCCTCTGCCATTTTGTCCTCCACAGTTAGCTGAGCTTTCAGGTGACCGTAGGAATTCATTCCTCTTGCACTTCTTTAACAGACTTCCTTATCAGCTCTTCTGAAATAGCCTTCGGGAACTCACTTGCAGTAACCACCTCTCTTCAGTATCTCCAGGTTTCAAAGCCCTTGTAAGTGACTTCTCCCACAGTAATTAGATTGTAGACGTAATTTTATGAGGAGAGCTGTCTTACAGGTCATAATCAATCTTAACACATTTGTGCTTTTAAGAACTTTCTCTCCTAAAACGGGTGGCTGTGCAGTTTGCTTTCTTCTTGTCATGCGTATATGGTTACATATAATCTTTTGAATGGTTACAGACCTGTGATATCAGAAACCAAGATCTTGACTTACAGGTTGTTGTTGCTATACTCCAAGAATCTTTAGACTATCTAAATTTTACTAAAGGTTTCTTAGGTGTTAGAATATTAAGCAAAAAGTTTCTCTTGGTTTTAATTATGTAGTCAAAAGTATTTTATCATGTTTACATATTATTATCAAATTCATCTTTGATTTAGGATATGGTACCTACATAGTTAATTAAATTTTCTTTCCTCTGGGATTAAGGCTCAAGAAAACATTGTTTTAGAAAACTAGCTATGTGTTTAATTCTCTCTTTATTTAGGAATATGTGTCTTTTTTGGCAAATTGAACACATTCATAGCAATTTTCTTCTCATATTTTCATTATTACATACAAGAGATTTACTTATAATTTAAGAAAAAGGTTATCAAGAAAGAGAATGTGTTAAAAGAAAACAAAATGATTAAATTTTAGTTCTTGAATAATTTTCCTTTGCTCTAAACTAGTTTTACTATATTAGAAAAAATTAGGAATACCCTAAGGAAAACTCAAAAATATTTGACTGTTTGTTACCTTGAGTGAATTTTAAAAATTCATTTCCTCAAATTAAAAAGGAAGAGAGTTCATACCAAGATGCAGTGGGCTATAGGTTGCATACTATTGGCTAACAGTCCCTTTGGGTAAACCTTTTAAATGCAAGAAGAGACAGCACAAGACACAACCACACACAAAATAAGTACTAAAAGAGAGGTGCAGGCGCATTGGGGGGGTGAGCGCCAAGAGAGGGAATTAATGCTCAGTAGAAATTTACTAACATTTGTTGCTTATTTTCAATCAGAATACATAAGAATTAGATGTGAAGAATTTCTTTTGTGATATAATAGGCTTATTTATACCCACATGGGAATATTTTTCTGTAGGAATCTGCTATCCCTTTCGGTATATGGGTCTTTTGCTAGCCAGCTCAATCAAGCATTAATGGAAGAACTTTTACTAAAGTGAAACTCTTACTAAAGGCCTTTTCTGGCTAGTTGATTCTTAATTTTTGCCACACTTCCGATGAACTTCTCTGCTTTATCGCTGAAGTTTGAACCTCAAGTACTTTTCTATTACAGAAAGACTTATTTGGTTCTTAAAATTAGACTAATTAGTCTGCTTTGGTGTTTCTTAAAGTACCAGAATGTGTAGGACATATATCCCAAGTTAGAATTTTTTCTGTGTGTTTTTATTTCATTGTTAAATTATTTCACCAATTGCAAAGAGTTTCTTTTAGAGTACAGATTTACACTTAAGAATGTTTTCATGATAGAATAATTGGTTTCTTGAATTTCTAAAGCTACTTTTTGAAAATCCACGTTCCTTAAGGATCCACCTGTTCCTGGGATTCTGCGTAAGTTTTCTTTTGGCTAGTCTGCACATTACCCAAACTTGAGAAGTACTGAGCTATTAGCAAGTCCTGAAAATTTGTTGTAGCCTTTTTGGTTTTATAAACGGTAAGTACAGGCCTCGTGATTTGACATCCATCCCACAGGTCTCAGTGCTCTCTTGTACTCTGGCCTAGTGGAAAAATCACTTAGACTTAAGAGGTATCACAGGCTCTTTTTGCTTTACACTGGTAGAGCCTGTGCACTTCGCAGTAAGCTAGACTTACTGGAATTTCAGCACTCTCAGGTAGGAGAACCTGATCAACAGAAGGACTTCAGCACATCCCAGTAGGGCTTGGAACGGCTGTTGTGAGGAATAGAAATAGTAGTGCCAAATGCCCACAGTGTCAGGCTATGCAGGCAGTCAGCGAAAGGTAGCTGTGATTGGTAGGATTATAAGCAAATAGTGTGGATTATAATCCTTAAGACATATAGACTATATATGTTTTATCTGTTCATATGCATGATATACTATACAAAACAAGTTACCCACCAAAGGGTATAGATTTCAAGTAAATCAATAAAATTTTAGAAGAATTATTGATACGTTCGTGCCATGTAAAGAAAAGGTGGGGACGTGCGGCGTCTACACCTGATCTTTGAGGATAGCCTTTTAGAGCCTTCTACGTGCACTTGGCCATAGCTATTGAGACCTGATCTTGAATTCAGTGGGTGGATGGATCCCCATCAGAGAGACCCATTTATTTTTGCTTTGTAGTTTTTGAAATCAGTTACTGAAGTGTCCTTGCTGTTGCATATTACCCTTTACTTGAGAATCATTTGGACATGGGAACAGACGAGTATTTCCTGTTGCACTGTGGTCATGTATGTTTGGAGAGGTTTCCTAGAATCAGAGTTTGAGATGGGGTTTTGTAAAAATAATGAATTGAGAAGGGCTCTTGGGAGAAAGGGAGACGAGAGCAGGAGAAAAGCTAAACAAGGAGGCTCCTCCTGGACACATGTCACCGAGGTGCCGCCGTGGGAGAAGGGTCACTGCAGAGCACAAACTGCCTGCAGAGTCAGCCCTCCCTTGGGGACCCTGTGCTGGCGGCTGCCTGTGGGGCACACTGGTGCAGTAGCCTCTCTGCAGAGGTGAGCTCATATCTGTGAACTCCCAGTATCACAGTAGCAGGGGGATACTAGCCCTGTAGACAGAGCTCGGGCAAGGCATCGTGTCCAGGTTCCTACCTACAGACAGAGCAGTAACAAATTCCACAGCCTCCTCTGCCTCAATTACTTGGGACTTCTAAACTAAGTCTTACATGTAACTGCTTTTGTACCCTTCAGCCAGGATCATTTAAAGCATTTTTCTCTCATATTTTGAAACTTCAGTCTTCCACCTTAATTAGTGGTTTTTATACTTAAATTTATAGTTTTGTTGTTACCTCAAATTCTTTTTGGAAACAGTTAAGTCTGAAGTAAAAGTAAACTAAAAGCCAGTTTTAAAGAGATGTACCAGAATCATCCTTAAAAATCAGATAAGCATCAAGTAGAAACAAAATTTACTATTACAGTTCTAATTTAGTACTAGTTAGGATTTCATAAGTGCTCAAGAATATACTAAGCAATCAGCATTACACATCCAAAGGAGGAAGAAAATGTTGCATTTTTGCAGATGGTAGTCATATATATATATAATGTATAATGAATTGAGCACAGGCTAGGTGTAGTGGTGCATGCCTATAGTCTCAGCACTCGGGAGGCTGAAGCAAGAGGCTCTCCAGGAGCTCAGGGCCTGAACTACATAGTGAAAACCAAAAGAAAAAGAAAAAGGAAGATTATTTGTCTCACAATTCTGGTGGCTAAAAGTTCAAATAACATGGTGTCGGCGAGGAATTCCTTGGTTCCTTGGCAGTCACAGCCTGGCAGATAAATTGAAATGAGAACAACTGTGTGCAGAGAGGCAATGTCGGCGGACCTTACTTTATAATACCTCACGTACATGAACTCCTGTCAGACTAGCATTAGTCCATTCACGAAGATGGAGCCCTAACACATAATTACCTTCCACTAGGCCCCATATCTTAATGGTTGTATTTACAGTACCTTCCATGCTGGAGAGCTTTGGGGGAAAGCTATATCTGAACTGCAGGGATGTGTGTACATGTGTGTGTACATAAATACATACATACATAGACATCCCATATGTGCTTTGTCATTTATTTTGATAACTTTTTAATCAAAGAAAAATAAATACTTAAATACATTCAGTACATTAGACCAAACTTTCTTTACCTCATAACTACTGACATGTGGGGCCAGCTAGTTCTTCATTCAAAGGTTGCCTCTGCATTGTAAGTGTAACAGCATCCGTGCTCTCTTCACACTAGATTGTAGCAGTAACTCAGCTGTGACAACCGAAACTGTCTCCAGACATTGCCAGTTCTCCCCTGCAGGTTATTGTCTGCCTCTTTGAAAACCACAGGACTGGGTCCTGAACTGCAGGGTGGCACTACATGCTTTCTGTGTGCGAACTGCCTAGGGTGTGTTGTCTCAGGCCAGCTCTGAAAAATGGTGCCATATTTATTCCCACCTTCACATGAGCAAACCAAGACTTCCTCTGAGTTTTGTGTACTGCGCAACCTTTAGGGCTTGCACGCAGGTGGTTTGATTCTGAAGCCCACCTCACCCAGGCCAAATCCATCTCTCCACTTACTAGCTAGGTGGTGCTGGGCAAGTTAGGTAAGTAACTTAGCTCTCTCAGCCTCAATTCCTGTAAGCATCTGAGAATCCCAACTGGGAGTATTGTTAGGAGGTTTGAAACAGCCAATATGTGCAGAGGATTTAGACCAAGGCTGACCTGTGGCATTTATGGTAGTGGCAAGACCCTGAGGAGCAAAGGTAAAAATAGTATCTCATCCCCAATCTAGTTGGAAAAGCCACTTGTAAACTCATAACCCATTCATATAGAACATTTTCTGAGAGCAGGCATGGAGGCCACAGATCTCTGGGAGCATCAGGGTTCAGTTTACTGCAGAGACCCGTGTGGGCCCTAAAGGATCAGTAGGAGCTGGGCTGAGGTGATAGCATTGTGGGTGAAGGAACAGCCAGGGACGGTGAGACTGCACACCATTTATTTCCTCCTCACTCTTTTCAGTTCACACAGAATTGGGCCTTTCTTTTGTAGGAAGTGGCTGCTTTTTTGAGAATTTGAAACAGTCCTGTGTCTAATTAGGAAGAAAACATTCTGTGTTTTTATTTTTTTGAAGTATGGATAGTATTACGTAGAATGTACGAACTTTTTGTACCGTATAGGACTCTAGGCTGCATAGACTGTATAAATAGACACGTTAAGCAATATGAAGCTGGGCACAGTGGGGCACACCTGTAATCCCAGCACTCAGGAGGCTGAGGCAGGAGGATCGTTGTGCATTCGAGACCAGCCTGGGCTACAAAGTGAGCTCAAGGCCAGCCTGAACTGCATAGCAAGAGCCTGTCTCAAAAAGACAAAAAAAAAAAAGCAACATGAGAGAATATACAGGTGTCAAAGCAGTTCTAGCCAGTTAATCTGTGTAAAAATAGTCTATCAGAGTTGTTTTCAATGTGACAATTTCTTTTGTTTGGGAAATAATATTTTGACCATTCAAAAGGATATCACTTAAACTTCTGCTGAAATTATTTTCTTCTTAGTTCTCGTATGAAATAATGCCTTTTCATTTTTTGCTATCCTCTTAATAACTAATGATATTGATGCAGAGGAAAATGATGATCTACCAAGTAAAATAGGTATAAGTAAAATATTTTAGCATTTATTTTTATGTGCACAGCTGACAATTATTTACAATGTTTTCCTGAAAATGTACAGTTATTAATGTACATTTTTCCTTTTGCCATTTATTATAAACAATTCTTAACCATAAATTAACAAATAATTAGAGGTACTGGGGATTTAGCTCATCAGCACAGCACCTGCCTGGCAAGCTCAAGGTCATGAGTTCGATTCCCGGTACCGGAAAAAAAAACAACAACAGCAAATAATTAGAAACAAGTATGTAATTTTTCCTTTACTCCTATAGAAAATACAGTTTTCATTTTCTTAAAATATTTAGATACATATCATGAGGTAATATTTGAATTTATATTATAAACTAATATTAAGATGTTTCAATACATGGATTCTTTTAACCTGTATTTTAAAAGCATTTCTTATACTTTAAATATTACACTTTCATTAACTAACAGAAGCTACTTCAATATTTTTGTTAAATAGAATTTGAGGGGAAAAATGACAACTTATTTTTATCATTCAAATACTAATTGGAATAGTAGTATGACAAAGTGGGACAATAATAAATCCAAATTGTTTCAAGAGAAATGAACTGAACCTAGAGAATTCTTTTGCTAGAAGCTAGAGTTGAGTTCTTGACCATTTTGAAACAAACATACATTCTTATCACTTGGCTTATATTTAATATATTCAAAGTCCTAGAGATTTTAGTTTGGGTTTGGGTTTTCTGTGATGTGGTGGCATTTACAGTTTCTTTCATTTTGCCTAACGTTCGTTTTAATGTCGACTCCTGTACATGTCTGTGTGTACTTTTGTAATTTGAAAATGAGAGGTGAGGTTGGGACTTTGCATATGGTTTGGGCAACGCCTGACTCTGCAGTGGACCATTCTTCTGTTCCTAGCATCACCTCTATTTCTTGTGATAGAAATAGAGGTGAACAGAAGCACATTCTTCAGGCATTGCCCCCCGGAGGGTAAACATAGGTGACATTCTTGATTAACACCATGGCCAGGGTATTTTTTATACTTGGCAGTTAAGTGCTTTTATAAAATCCAATTTAGAAAGTATATCAGCAAGTTATTTTAAAAAGGAAAAAAAATGCTGTCAGCTGTCTTACTAATGCAAGTCAGGACTTCTTACCATTGTAAACCTTTAAGTAAAACATGAAAGCAATCATGGAAAAATCAATCTTAAAATATGTAATTGTATGTGATTTTGTTCTATTTTGAACTACTTAGTAGTTTTAAAGTATTTTGCATTCTTTGTGGAGGAAATCAAACATAAGTCTGATACTTGTATCTAAAATAAAGTTCCGGCAATCAGCCAAAAGCTTCATTACATGTGCGTTATGTACCTAGTTACACATAGTCCTTCAGGTTGTATGCAGAATTGTTTTCTAACTGATTGGTAGAGGGCTGCTCCTGTCTGGGAAGGGATAGCCAAGTTTCTGGATTCTTTTTAGTATAGGAAATGCAGAAAAGAATGCCAGAGATAAACAGCAGGATTGCTGAAATAAATCCTATATAAATAGCTCCTCCAGGCTCGTATTTATTGTTCTCTGAAACTGTCAAATCCAGAAAGTTTGCTGTGATCTCTTTTGTGTACCACACTGTGGGTATTAAGCCAGAGACCCCTGAGGACATGAAACAGACTCCTCCAGCAAAGGAAGCCTGACTCTTAGTTTCTTGATCCCCGCCTAAGTGAGTGCATTTCATGCCTACTATGGAAATGCAGATCCCCAGGGTAGACAGAACACAAGCCAAGACCATGGTGGCCCTCGCAGCCTGCACATGGACGGGGAGGGACAGGATGGAGTTCTTCAGCATGCAGCTGAACATCCCAGTGCTGTACCACGTGCAGTCCATCCACAGCCCATGCAGCTGTATAATGGCAGTCAAGATGTTGGAGCCCATGTACACATTCACTTTCCAGTTGGGGAGCAGGGTGGCCGTGAGCACTCCAGAGATCCCAAATATGGCCAGGATGAAAGCAAGGAGCTGCAGACCCAGGGAGGCCATGATGTTACTCCTATCTCTGTCCTCCTGGAAGATCTTGGTGCTTAACTGTGTTGGTGCTCAGTTCAAAGTGTAGCTGATTTCTGTGCAGTAGAGAGTCAGATGACAAAAGCTAGGGAAAGAAGACGAAGTTGGGTTTAAAGAGAAGAACAAACAAAAAAGTTTATCCTTAGAGTAGAAGCTGGGACACATCGGGGCAGCCCTCCCCCTGTGCCCACACATGCACGCTCACACAGCAGATGAGGATGCCACAGCTCAGGAGAAAAGGTCACAGCGGACCTTGGAGACTGCATTCTTCCGAGTAGTTGTACATGGGTGCTGCTTTATGCATAAAGAAAGGGGTTGTCCGCTTAGGTCTTTGGAAAACCCAAAATACGCTGCAAACGTAAAGATACTTCAAATTCCAGCTGTACAGGCCAATAGAGAATTTTATTAGCATTGTAGATTTTTTTTAAATGACAGTTTTTAATGAAAATGCTTTGTGGGTTATATAATTCAAATACACTTCAGAGTCATTTATAAATAATATACTAGACAACTTGTAAGTATTCAAGAAATGATCTTAATAAACAAACCTTTATTCAGCAGTGCTGCCAGCTGCCATGCATGTGACCCAGTGGATTGTTCAGAGAGGCAGAAATGCAGTGGAAGAAAGCCCGTCCTGGCTTGATTTCCCATTTCTAGGTCATATCCACCTGCACACTCCTTCCCCAGGTTAACACTTGTTTTATTTTAGGTCCCTGGTACTTGAAACGGGAACAGTTGAACTGCTGTTTTTTGCTATGAGAATGTGAGCAATCCTTTCTAGTTGAGATCAGAATCGTTCCTTGACCCAAATGCAGCATTTGATTGCAAAACCAGCTGTTTGAACAGTTCAGAAGCACTGACAACAAATTTCAAAATATCAGAAATAGACACATCATTGGTTGTGTGTGAGAGAAGACCAAAAAGAGTTAGCTGGTTTTTTAAAAAATATAGAAGTAGGAAAAATATAGCACAAACTTTGTGGCTAGCAGTGTTTTGAGAAACAAAAGGGCTCCTTATTCTCATCTTCCTGTTCCTGTTGCACGGTTATCCGTTCCATCTGGCAGCGCTTGCTTCTTTCTTTGAGAAAAAAATATAATGGTTTCTGACATACTGCACCACCAACTTCTTTTGTCTAACTGGATTAATTCTGAATGATGTATCAGAGTGGTTCGGACAGATTTGTGTGTATTCTGCAAAAAGTAGGGTGGGCTTTTGATCCAAACAGTCTGGCTGGTTCTTGGTTTTGGGCTTTCAGTATCCTCTTTGGGAAAATGAGGGTCTTAGTACTTATACCACAGGGTTAGATAAGTTGATTCATTTTAAGAACTTAGAACAGTAACTAAGCCTCAGAAAGTATTGAGTGACTTATAACTGACATCAGTGGTATTTTTTATTTTTATTTATTTTGTATCATAAAACCATTGATGTTTAAAAACATTTGAAACTTGTTGTTTCTTCTCTGCTTCCTTAGGCTGATTTATTTCCTTAGTGTCTTAAACGTTAGAGCTGAAAGAAACCTCAGCCATCATCTTGGGCATCATTGTTTTATCAGATTAGGGCATTCAAATAAGAACCCACCCTGTGCTCTACGGTGCCCAGGTCTTTCTTACCTCTTCCTACTTCACCTCATCCTACGTATCTTCCATTCGTCCCTTTACCGCCATACTTCCTACTGTGAGTTTCCCGAGCGAAAAGGAGAAGGTGCTACACCAGGGAGCTAAAAGCATCATTAACCGTTTCACCCTCTCCTTTTCCCACAAGGGAAAAAAAAAAGAACTCCATAGTGTCCATAGCTTCTATTTTTGTTCATAATTTTGAAATGTAAAGTCCACAATTTTAGAGGATTTCCTGAGATTTGAAGTTCTTCAGTGTCAGACTTATCTGTAAACATCAATGTGTTTAGAGTCTGCTTGCTGTCAGACAGTTCATTTCTTTTTCCAAATTTATTGTGAGACCAAAATAGAACAAAAATTAAAAGTTTCTTAACTATAAGAACATATTTACAGTTCTATAATAGCTGTTTTCAAGTTTAACTGGCTCTAGCATTTCAGACTCTAGCCAGCTTGCTAAATTACTGCCTCCCAAACCATGTGCAGCCTATGATTCTCTAGCAGTGAGATTGCTGATACTATTCCCCAAGATCTGTTTGCTTGCTTGCTTTCCTTTTTTCTTTTTTTCTTTCTTTCTTTGCTTGAATAACCTGATGTTATGAGCCTGTTTTCTACTTACTAATTATAACCTTTTCTTCTTACCAGCCAATACATCTTATAAATTTCATTATCATTCAGACCTGTAGACAGCTTGTTCATCGTAATTAACAAGTACTGGCAGTGATAAATTGCAGACAGGCAAAATGAGAGTAAATAATATGACATTACATCTAGTTAGCATAGCACTTGCTGTGGAAGAAGGTTGGACTTCACGTGCTATTTTCTGCAGAGAGAACTTACATAGAAATAATTTGTTCCCCAAAATGAAGTCACTATTTGCTTCTTTTATATAAATATCGATACTATCATTGTACCTCCGACACTTTTTTCCTCTCCAGCCATAAGCACAATAGCTTGTGGCCTGTTCTCTCAAATTTTGATATCATAAATAATAAAGGCATCCATACTATGTTTCAGTGGTTGTGGTAGCAGTGGCTTTGATAAAGAAAGACTGTGACAGTACCCAAAAAGGAAGGGGTGGAATGCACAGACTCCGGTGCCTGGAGTGAACACTTGAGATCCCAGAACACACTGCACACAGGACAGACCTCAGAATGTTGGATTTAGGAACTATTTGCCCAAAGAAATTTTGCAGTAGATTTCAGTAAAATGTAAATCCAATTTTCCAGGCAAGATTTATTTCTAGCAATAATATTTAGTAACATATTTACAGCTTCTAATTCAAACTAAACAATACCTGAACATCTGTACTTAGGTCTCTGAGCATTCTAGAAGCGTCTCGTTTTCCGTACCTTTTGTTGGTAGCCTTCACCGTCTTAACTCCTCTCTGTCAATTATCTTCGAATTACGGTAGTCTCATGCAGGGCCGAGGAAGAGAAACCACATGTGTATCTTGTTTCTGAGAGTCTGAATTGTTTCTATAAAGCTGCAACAAGTTAACTTGAAAATAGCAAATAAAGAGCCACATAGAAATCAGAGAGGTGAAAAATGCTGATGGTGCTAGAAGATAAATACCAGGTTCTCCATCTCATTTTTTGAGCTGTGGGAGAATTAAGAAAGGAGAGGCGGGGAAGGGAGGCAGTTGTTGTTACAACAGGATTTGTCAGAACCTGAAAGCTAAAAATGCTTTTGTGTCACTGCATACAGAGGGAGAATTATTTGGGGCCTACATAAAGGCTTTCTTTTCTTTTAATATTCTGTTTTCATTACATAGTTATAATTTACTGTGAACTTTTGTCTGTGTTGGAAGATGTTTATTATTTTATGTTCTCAGTTAAATATGATCTGAAATATTTTAAATTTTTATTAGTCCGTGTTTGCAGTACATAATGATAACTTTCATTGTGAGGAGCTGGTACATGGACACAGCACGTCTCAGGTCTTTTTTATTCCCCTTTTTTACTCCCCCTTTTAAAAAGTATTTTTGCCAGCACCAGATTCATTTATTTTCTAAGTACTTAGATTAACAGCCAGATTAATAGGCAAGAACACATAAAACACAGAGGACAATTATACTAAATCCAAGTACACTTTTAGATACATTGTTTGTGCTGGATTATAATAATTTTTCTCTTCTTTGTTTTTTATTTTGCACCTTATATTCAGTTTCTCATGAGAGAAACCTTGTGCTATTTAAGCTTATGTGTCTGATTTATTTAATGTTATTGTCTCAAGGTGCATATTTTCCTACAAATGACTCAAGTTTATCCTTCTTTATGGCAGAGTAGTACTCCATTGTATATAAATACCACATTTTCGTTCCATTATCCATTCATCTATTGATGGATATATAGGACTGTTTCTGAGATTTAGCTATGAATTTATTTACTTATTTATGAATTGTGCAGCTATAAACATGGGTATGCATACATTACTATAGTATGATGTCTTTAACTCTTTTGGGAAGATTCTTAGCAAGGGAATAGCCGGGTCAGATGAAATTTGTATTTTTAGTTTTTTGAGGAATCTCCATACTGATTTCCATAGTGTTTGTACCAGTTTACACTCCCACCAACAGTGAAGTAGGGTTCCTTTTTCCCTACAGTGCATCCAGCATTTGTTATTGGTTGATTTCTTTTTTTTATTTTAAAGAGAATAATTTTTAAAAAGAACAATAGCAAAATACTAACAACAAAACAAAGTAAAAGCAATAAAATGATACAGTGTTTCAGAACAAAATGATAGGAATTAACAGTGGCTGTTACATTACATATTGTTATCTTCAGCGAAGTTGCTCAGATTACCCGATGTAAGAATGCAAGATTGATCAAACCATTAAAGAGAATAAAAAATAAAAACAGAAAAAAAGTTAGAAACGATACAGAGTTTCACTAACAAGATGGTAGGAATTCAGGGGCTGGGGATTTAGCTCAGCGGCAAAAGCGCCTGCCTGGCAAGTGCAAGGTCGTGAGTTCGGTTCCCGGTACCGGAGAAAAACCAAAAAAAAAAAAAAAAAAGATGGTAGGAATTCACCAATGGTTTGTTCTATTGGATATTGTTGTCTTTAAATCAGTTGTTCAGATTGCCAGATATAAGCATGCAAAATTGGTCAAAATATTAAAAATTTTAAGCATTAACTGTTCTTTCAATAAACCACCAGACATCAGCAGTACAATTATCCCAGCCATCCTTCTGTATACATAAGTGTATATATATTTTCCCTTCCTTCTTTCTTTCTTTTTCTCCTTTCCCTGATCCCAGTTGTTCCTTCCTTTGAGCAAGTCCTATCCCTTTCTAATATCTATTGTACGTTTTGGGTTTTATTTACTCTTTAGGTTCTTACGCTAGGGAGACAATACGACATTT